CCACAACTTTGCGTAGTTTTTCCACTGACTTCGAGCAGGGCCAAGAGAACCGGCTGCTGAGGTATTACGTTAACCACGCGCCAAGAAAAAACAGGAATTTCTAGTGTGAAAATTATTTCCTCAAAGTGATAACAGCTATTGGCCAAAACCCCATTTTTAGTCTTAATCGTCACTGAAAGACGGACTCGGGATGGACGAGTCCAGCTTTGCCACTACGCGAAGGCAGGCAGCACCACACGACAGGCACAGCTGCCGGCACCGCACGCCCCAGTGCAGGCAAGGGACGGCACCGTGCTGCCCACGAGCCGTCCCATGCCCACGCACAGCCGACAGCCGCAGCCCGCTGTGAACGTGGACTGGGACTCCCAGTTCCTGCGGGACTGGGAACTCGCGCGCCGCTGTGGTGGTCGCTACGGAGCAGGGGAGCAGAGCCCTCCTCGCAGGGGTCTGCATGGGCCAGCCTACGGGGACGGGACGTTGGCGACTGGACGCTCACTTCACCAGCGTCCTCGCCAGAGGACCACATGCGCTTTGTCTGGGAGAATACAGAGATTTCCAAAGGGTGAACAGTCAGCGCTGCACAAGCTCACGCTCCATTTCATAGTCTTCATTTACAGGAACGCGGTAGTTGCCAGAGAAGCAGAAGCTCAACCTGTTCCAGCGTCCCCCTCGGCCACGCCCAACACCAGCACTCCGGAGGAAAGCTGAAGAAACTGCTGCATAATCCGTTTCCCATCCTCTGCGGCTGCTTAGCACAGGCTTGGTTAGAAAAGTGATTTCAGCATCAGTTTGTGTTTTTGTCATCAGCCTCACAAAAGCTGACTGGAAGATTAGTACCCAGACTAACGTGGAAAACAAACCTGCCTCCAGGAAAAATACACCTGCTGAGCCGCGCTGGGAAATCGGGTTTTCTGCCTTCTGCCTGCAGGTACATTCTGCAATCAGCTTTGGAAGTGCCACGGTAGCATTTTAAAATTGGGATGGTGTGGGGGAAAAAACAAACCACTGCCTGAAAAACAGCAGCAGATCAGGAAATAAAAGTAGGTGTGCCATCAGCAGGGACAAGGGCTCTCCGAGTCCCCGTGAGAGCACGTCCCACGGGAGGAGTGGTATGGTCGATGCTGACAGGGATGAGCGAGTTGTTCAGCCCGGTTCTGGTCGCCTGAACCAAGCAGCGGCCTAAGGACAGTGGTGTGTGCGGGGAGACAATGAAGAGGGTAGGACTGGTGCACATGCGGCTGGTGATGGACAAGTGCAAAGGTCAGTCAAATGATCAGAACTTAACAGTATGATCTACACTGGCTTGTCAGTGAGCTGGCATTCACTTTCCTAATGGAAATAGTTTCTGCAGCGCTATTGCTAGAATGGAATTAAAATCACACTGGCCATAGCTCCAACAAGAAAACCTGCGCTATATTGAAAAACATTACAGGAGACATTGGGTGTTTCATCTTTTCCCAATTTCTCTCTCACCTAAGAAAAAAATCCATGCTGCTCATCCTCCTCGGGGCAGATCATCTCTGCCTCTAACCTTGGTGGCTCTGCAAACTTTCATAACAATAAATCTGTGGCTCAAAACACGTACTACCATGGCAGCGCCGGTAACAGTGAGCTCTTCATCAGATACAGCCACGTGTTCCTCTGCACCAGCGAATGTTTTCAGGAAGCTCCTCTGCTCTTTCATCCTCCTCCTGGGATGAACTCAGTCTTGGATATTGCGCAGTTCGTGTGTCCTTAGCACTGCAAACATGGGACGCCCGATAACCTCTCCCAGCTGTCAGCTGGGTTTGACCAAGTCCAAACCAACGCTCACCACACCAAGGCATTTAAGGGAATGGCCAAAGACATTTCTGCCGATGCCCAATTCAACCTGTCCTCCAGATGTCTACACTAACTCTGTTCAAAACTCAGAATCTGCTTCTGTTCCTCATCCTGAGGACCGCAGCGCTCAACCATGCTCTGAGAAATGGCTGACTTAAAATAAACAAGGCGCAGAGGCAACAAAAGAGGTCATATTTCACTTGATCCCAAGCCTGAAATTTTATTGCTTTCTGGTGACATCCAGCAATGCAAATAACCCCATGTGCACGCAAGAGCAGAGCTCAGCAGCGTTCTCCTGGCAGTCCAGGCATGCTGCTCCAGCTGACCCCGCTTGGGCAGGGGGGTCTGACCAGACAGTCTTCAGAGTCCCTTCCAACCCCCAACCCTTCTATGATTCTGTCTATTCATAATCCTGTTTTGAACCCAGCATTTCTGCAGGAGCAGGTGCATAATACAGTCGCAAACCAGTCCTGCACCGGGCCAGGTCTCCGGTTTGCTTACGCTGTAAATCTGTAAAGGTGCTGTGTCGGTCCTTGACATGCTCTTCGGATTGACCTCTCTTTTTTTACTTTGGAGGTTACCAAAGCAGGGCTGTGTGAGGAGCTGTTCCCCGGCCCTTGCAGCGCATGGCCAAGGTAAGCCATCGCCTGGCTGTGCTGTTTACACAGCTGTTTGCAATTGTGCCTGCTCCCAAATCTCCGCATTCTTCATCCCATGCGAGCACTCCGCTTGCTCCCAGCACCCCTCGGAGAAGTGTGACCAGAATGCAGAGTGCTTATTTTGTAACGCCGCAGTGTGATGTGGACGCAGTGATCTGAAATAAAGCAACTTAATCTCCCGCCGACATGAAGTTGCTCACACAACTGTTGCTGGGACTCAAAACAGAGATACACCAAAAAAAAACCCCTGCTAATTCAGAAACAACTGCAAGTATAGACAAAACCTGGCTGGGAGAAGGATAACTGGCCAAACAACCGAAATCTTCCAAATTACTCAAAACTCCCATTAAATACGCATGTCACAGTTTGTCCATAATAAATCCTTAAGGGCAGAAAATAATTGCAGAGATCTGGAACTGTTCTGTAAAATGAGAGGCCAAACTAGGAATGGGCAGAGGGCAGGAAAAGAGACAAGAAAGATTAATTCCGTTGTCTGAACCAAACAGCCTTAAAGCAAGTCTGGTAAAAGGAAAAATGAAGTGGCTGGTTCTTATTTTAGCCAATTCCCACCCCAAACAGCAAAAGCTGACGCTGTTGTAACTGATATCTAAATTTTTTGGAATAACACCAGTTCATAACAGTAAAAGCCAAAACCACTGTCAAAAACTGGACAAGCGGCACCGCTGCCTGCAACGGATTTATTGTCTTGACATTATGGCCATAAGGGACAGGCACAGGAAGCAAGAGGAGGACACAGGAAGATCTCCAGGGTGTGCTGAGCATTGGCTCGTCCCGCTACCAACGTGGTCGCTTGTCTGCAAGCGAGGACAGGAAAAACACTGTGTTTTGCTGCAATTCGTCCACAGCGAACTGCCAGGCAAACCAGCCAGGAGACAGTGTGGAGAAGATGACAGGTTATAAATGTGGCAGGAGAAAAGGAAAATATGCAAAAGAGCTGTGCAACACTTTAAAAGGCATCCTGTACAAATGCAGGAGTGCTTTGAGAGCTTCTTCTTAAGAACATTTTCCCTATTTGCTTTTGGGAGCGCGGGTGTTTCGCCCAGGCTGCCTACGGGAAGCGACTCTGCAGGGAGGAGCAGAGCGGGCACGGCCGGGCGCTGC